CACCACGGGGAGACCAGGCAGAAGGGAAGCTGGAGAGGTTTGCAGTGTGCGAGGGACCTGACCTACCCTGGCTGGCTTTGAAGGAGCCGTGAGCGGGAGAGTGTTGCAGCCTCTGGAAGCTGAGACCAGCTGCCTGCTGAGAGCTTGTAAGGGGACCTCAGTCCTGCAGCCTCAGGGAACTGAATTTTGCCATCATCCTGAATCATCCTCTGAAGAAAGGAACAAAGCCCTGCTGACACCTTGATTTCTGCCTGCGGGGAGGCAGAGCCAAGAACCAGCTGAGCCACACTGTGCCCAGTCCTGTAGACCTGTCAGATCGGATCGTGAGTGGATATTTTTTGAGCCTCTAAATTTGATTAGGCAGCAATAGAAAACTACTGTGAGGACTTAGCACAGCACTGGGCCCTCATTTCACTAACTGCTGCCCAAATTATACCTTTTTTTTTTTTTTTTGAGACAGGGTCTCGCTCTGTCACCCAGGCTGGAGTGCAGTCATTGAGGCGCCATCTCAGCTCACTGCAAGCTCTGCCTCCCAGGTTCACGCCATTCTCCTTCGTCAGCCTCCTGAGTAGCTGGGACTATAGGCGCCTGCCACCACGCCCGGCTAATTTTTTTGTATTTCTTAGTAGAGATGGGGTTTAACCGTGTTAGCCAGGATGGTCTCAATCTCCTGACCTTGTGATCCACCCACCTGGGCCTCCCCTAAATGATACCTATTAATATTACTACTCTCTTCTCTTTTTTAGCACGTGGCAAGAAATATTTATTTTATGACACTGTTGTTCATATAATTTCAGTACTACTGAGAAGCCAGAACCTAATAAAAATGGTGTTTTAATAAGTAAATTATCTTCTTTAACTGCGAGCTTTGATACCATAGCTGCTCTAGGCCATTTCCACCAATTCTGTGACTGTGTGTAAGACACGCACACAAACATACACATACATGCAAACACACACATACACGCCCACACACTGAATGAAGTCATACAGTAAATAATTGCTGTTTTGTCCTTTGTTCGGAGTCTTGCATTCCCTCAGTTGGCATGTATGTTGGGAGAGCATAAGATAAGCTTCTCTGCCTCTGTAGTTTGAAGCCTGTTTTCCACTTTCTCCTTCAGCGGGTCCTCAGCCTTAGCATCAGGTCTTCTGTGCCCTTGATAATTTCCCGCTTGCTGCCCCCTCCATCTCTTCACTCTTTCTGCCCTCACAGTGCCCACTTCATCCAACAATGCCAAAATGTACCTTCCTTTGAAGCCCACATGGAACATTCTCCAAGATTGATCATATTCTGAGCCATAAAGGACACCTCAGCCAACCCGAAAGAATAGAGTCCTATAAAGTGTCCTCTTAGACCAGAGTGGAATTACACTGGAAATTAGTAATAGAAAGATACCTGGAAAATTACAAAAATATTTAGTGATGAAACAACAAACTTCTACATAACATATGGGACAAAGGAGAAATCTCAAGAGAGATTAAACATACTTTCAACTAAATGAAAGAATTAGGTTTCTTGTTTATATATTTGATACAGAATGAGATGGAAGAGAGTCTGAAATATTTTTCTCTTTTCAAAAGAATCTTTTTTCCTCATGATGAAAATAATACATACGTGTTAAAGAAAATGTAGAAAGGTATTTTACAAAGCAAATAGAAAATTATTTTTAATCTTTCTATAAACTGTTGAGGAAGTTGGCTGGGCGCGGTGGCTCACACCTATAATCCCAGCACTTTGGGAGACCAAGGAGGGTGGATTACTTGAGCTCAGGAATTTGAGTCCAGCCTGGGCAACATGGTGAAACCCAGTCTCTACCAAAAATACAAAAAGTTAGCCGGGCATGCTTGTGCATGCCTGTGGTCGCAGCTATTCAGGAGACTGAGGCATGAGAATCACTAGAACCCAGAATGTGGAGGTTGCAGTGAGCCAAGATAGTGCCGTTGCACTCCAGCCTGGGTGACAGAATAAGACCTCATCTCAAAAAAAAAAAAAAAAAACCGTTGAAGCTAACATCCACTTGTTTTCCTAAATGTGATTTTTTTTTTTTTCAAATTAAAAGCATGCTTAATAGGTAATACGGTTATATGGTTCAATTATTTTAGAAAATAAATGGAAAAGATGGTTAGGCACAGTGGATCATGTCTGTAATCCCAGTACTTTGGGAGGCTGAGGCAGGCAGATCGCTTGAGTCTAGGAGTTCCAGACCAGCCTGGGCAACATGGCAAAATCCTGTCTCTACAAAAACTAGCCAGGCGTGGTGGCATGTACCTGTGGTCCCAGCTACCCAGGGGGCTGAGGTGGGAGGATTACTTGAGCCCGGGAAGTCGAGGCTGCAGTGAGCCATGACTGCACCACACTCCAGCCTGGGTGACAGAGGAAGACCCTGTCTCAAAAATAAATAAATAGATAAATAATAAACAGAAAAATGGAAAAGATAAAACTATAAAGTCTTCCTCTTGCCAGTTCTCAGCTCTCCTCAGGAAACAGCTGTTGATCCTTTCTTTGTATTCATCTGCAGTGTTTGTATGTGACCCAACTAACACAAATAGGTATTTATAGTTCTCCCTTTTTATATAACCTATTATGTATTATCCTGAATCTTATTGTCTTCCACTTACTGTGTCCTGGTGATCTTTCATATGTATCATACATAGAGACCTTTTTTGGCAGCTGCTTAGTGTTCTATTTTGTGACTATACTAGCTAGATCTCTTTACCAAGACACGAGTTTTTTCCCCCTCAACATTACTTGTTAGCAAGTTGCCTTCTTATGAATATATTGTAATTTCCTTAGTCCTGTGTTGTTGGATCTTTAGGTTGATTGCAGTTTGAGGCCATCATAAACCATGCTTCAGAAAGCCACACATCTGTGTCTCTGTCATCATTTTCATAGTACACTGGCTTTCCAGGGTCCTGCTACAGAGCACCTGTGCTGCCCTGAAATACTGTCCCAATTTACTTTTCCACCGTCTGCAAAAACAGTGATCTTGAGACCAGCGTTTCCATGGGAAACAGGAAAAGGCAGAAATGCGCATTGTGTCATGGGAAGACCAGTACTGGGAACTTGTAGTATCTCTGTTGAAGAGGTCCAGGAAAATAAAAGAAGGAAGTGTCCATAGCTAACCCTTAACTATATTCCAAGTGCTATTCTAATTGCTGTTTATGGTTGGCAGGTTTAATTATGTCAATACTTGTGCGAAGTAGGCAGCTATTTTCCTCATTTTTTAGGTGAGGAAACCAAGACGTGGAGTCCTTTCCATTACCTGCCTTTTGCCTGGATGCTCAGTTCCTATGGAGGGCTGGGGGTGGGGGCACCAGGAGAGGGAAGACAGGAGAGCCAAGCCATTAACCCTGGGCGCCCACCCTAAAGAGGAGGGTGGAAACAGTGTTTGCCAAGGGGATTGCGTCCATGTTTATGTAGACATTTAAAGCATGCAGCTCCGATTAGAATATTTTTGTTGAAGTATCATTTAGAAATTTTTTTCTCAGCTTTCAGTTTATATTGCAAATGTAAATAAAACTGCAGTGGCGGCTCTTAGAGATCTCCCTCTGTTTAATTTGGAGCTGTGGAGGCTTCCTGTGGAGCAGCCTAGGACACTGGAAATTCTTTCCCCTGCGGTGGCTTCACAGGGAAGGTGACCCCCTCGCTCAGAACAGCTGACAGCACTGGCGGGCAACCCCAGCTCCCGGCAGCCGAGCCGGTTTCTAGTGTGTGCAGCCTTTGCCCTAAGTAAATACATCTGACATGAAATGAAGGGAAAATCTTGCTGTTTTGCTTCTTTGTGCCGAGAGAAATTTGGTCTTTGAGAAGTTCTGTATCTTCTTCATTCCCGTTTTCCATCCTAAATACTGTTTCTGGAGACGGAGACGAGGGCCATGCTGTGAGGAGGCTTCACATTGCAGAGAGGAGCATCTCGTTGGGGAGTATTTCTGTAAAACCTCTGACTCGAGTGTAGACAAAGAGAATTCGACTGTAAGTGTCTTTTATGATGGGAATTGAGTATATGCTAAATAATCACGTGAGTTCACAGAAAGAACTAACCCATTGTTTTGCATTTTAGTGTTTCCGTAGTCTTCAGTCTCATGGTACAAATCCTTAACTGGCCCTTGGCAATTTCGTAGAGCGTGGGAGTGGCCCAGAATGAGGCTCGACGCAGACTATGTCACTAACTTAAGACAAAATTAAAAAGAAAATCAACCAAGGAGTGGAAGCTGTAGTCAGTTTTTCTGTGGAAGAGGTGTTTTTGGTAGAAGAAAATGCTTGATTTCTCCGATGTGTTCTGAACAGTGGTTTCAGGTTATTCCGAGCTGTTCTCTTCCTATGGTGATTTTTTTTCTTCCCTATTTATGTGTCATTTATGTGGGTTTTGGGCACAGTGAAATTCAACCTAAGACCCTATAGGGAGTTCATTCGTGGTTTGACTGGTTGGATTTTCCTGGTCAGAATTCACAGAAGGGCCAAGCAAGTCGCAGCCGTGCCCTTACCCAGCCTCTTCCCAACATAAAATTACCCTGCTTTCTGGTAGGAATGCTGCTGATCATTAATTGGAGCTCTTTTAGGCTCATTTCTTGAGACTTCTGTTTTTCCAGCTGAACTCCCAGCACATGGCTTTGTAAATGTGAAAGGTCGTGGCAGGGTCTCTGAGCGGTCTCTGGAACGGCTGTGTGGGCATCCGTGAATGGGCTGCCTTTCCGTCCTCCTTTGACTTCCTCTCCCCACCTCAGCTTGGATTTTGGAACATCAAGCTCATGCGTGGTGTACTCTGAACTGTGCAGCTGACATGTTCCAAGGGCCTCTGTCCTGGGTTGTGAGGGTTAGAGGGTTAGCCTCGCTGCTTCATTGACATTCTGCAGCCGGTTGTTACTAATGTTACTTCGTGTTTACCTGGCACCCCTCATTGCTGGTTATTGTCCCTGTTCTGAATTTCCCCTCTTTTCTCCCCTTCAGAATTGCTCAGCAGACTACTTAACCAGCAGACTCTGCTACAGTGCCCTTTTAAGATAGGAACTGGAGTTACTGTTAACGGTACAGGAAGAACACATTCTCAGAGGAGAGCGGGTGGTGGGAAACTGATTTTCATAGAGTTTTCAGTTTCCTCTCAAATGGGAGGATGCAGCAGCGCCGCTGCTTAACTGAACGTCTCGACAGTTTGACGGGGCAGCCCTCAGCCTTCCGGAGCAGCAGTGGGACTGACCTGTCCAATGAGGAAGGAACACCGAACCAGATGGACTGGCCTTTGGGGATGGAAAAACCCCAGTTTACGCTCAGTTCTTCTCTCAGCTAACTTTTGTGGAGCCCTGTTCCCAAATTGGCCCGGGCCAGAGCACCGTGGAAGGGTATTTGTTGTAAATGGAAGGTTTCCAGGCCCTCCTGGAAATCCTGAAGCGTGAGACCTGCGGTGAGCTCAGGAGTCTGCGTTTGTGGGTGACCGAGGGGGCCTCCCCTCCCTGCAGAGTCCACACTGTGGAGAGCATCAGGAGGGGAAAGGCCTGCGTCTTGTGCTTGGCGAGCTCATCATCTAGTGAGGAAGGCATGTGTGAATCTCGGGAACAGGCAGCGCTGAGCCGTTGTGGACTAGCGGTGCAGGCAAGGGGTTGTTTCTGACCAAGGGCAGTGAGAAGGTTTCCCACAGAGACTGACGTCTGGATTGAGCTTTGAAGAGGAAAGCCAGGACTGGAGCAGATGAGGAGGGAGGCGTGCGAGGCTAATGACAGTGGCTTTCTGTTTGATGTCGGGGCGGTTTCCTGTTCTCTCAAGGCACACTTATTCCCTCTTAGCCTTTCATGCAGTTTCCTGTCTTTCCTTGCATACCTTGTCACCCCGAGTAAAGATAGTGATGAATAATTTGTTGTGTTAGATCACAGCCCATGCAGAGTTGTTTAGACTCTCTTTGAGGAACGTAGGGTGACCCTGTCTGTGTAAGCAGAAATGCCCGTGAGTGTGAGTCAGGTGGCAGCAGGTTCCAGGTCTTGCACTCCTGAGCAGACTCTGTGGTGTCGTACTCAGCTCTGAAGGTCTGGCGAGGTTCTTTTTTTTTTTATTTTGATTTTAATTTTTAAATTTTATTTATTTCTTTTTTTGAGACAGTTTTGCTCTTGTTGCCCAGGCTGCAGTGCAATGGTGCCATGTCGGCTCACTGCAATCTCCACCTCCCAGGTTCAAGTGATTCTCCTGCCTCACCTTCCTGAGTAGTTGGGATTACAGGTGCCCGCCATCACACCTAGCTATTTTTTTTAAATTTTTAGTAAAGACGGATTTTACCATGTTGACCAGGCTGGTTTCGAACTCCTGACCTCAAGTGATCCACACACCTCGGCCTCCCAAAGTGCTAGGATTACAAGCATGAGCCATCGTGCCCAGCCCTCATTTGGTTTTGAACTTGGCACAGTCCCACTCCAAAGTGGCAGTGGGTATGAGGAGTCATCTTCAGAGGAGGCAGCACAGTGCCTGTTTCTGGGGCTAATGGTCTGCTGCTTCTACCTGCAGCCCTGGAGCTTGGAAGCAGGTGTGCAGGAACTGACCCGATCTGTGCTGGACCTAGCTGGAGACTGCAAAAGATAGCTTGGCCTTAGAATTATGGGACTTTGTGAAAACTGATTTTTAAAAGGTATCTTGTTAAATTACAATTTGTATAATAGAATGTTAGTTCGTATTTTTAGCAGTTTTTCAGCTCAGAATAACTTGTGGGGGTGGGAACAGCAGTCACGGGATTTCCTTTTACTTGGACAGATCCTTTCAGCGAACTTGCATCTTGACAGACCATCAATAATTTTAAAGATTTTGGGTTTTGTCAGTTCTCTTTATAAAAAGATTATTCTTCCCATAAGTGTTGGTTCTATTTCTAAATGAACTCACTGGTTTTCAGGCTTGACTTTCAAATGTTAAAATATATATATACACACACACATGTATATATGTGTATGTATATATGTACATATATGTATATATGCATGTATATATGTGTATATGTGTGTGTGTGTCTGTATGTATATATATGAAGGTCTAGAGTCTCCCAGCTTGCTTCAGGGTGTTAGGGACCCAGGCATTACCTCACTGGGTGACTAGTGCACAGTCAGGATTGATTGAGAACCTCTAGACTGACCTGCTGCGACTCAAAGGCTTGATCTTCAGCTCTTCCATTCCTAGCATTGGGAAAGGGAAGACAGCAGCAGTGACCTGGTCAGGAGGAGCCCGGAAGGCCCGGGCAGAGGGGCCCCTGCAGATATTCTTACACGTCCATGTGCAAGGGAGGACTCATTTTGGCAGCAGAGCTTTCAGATCCTTGTTCCTCACTCTCCTGTGGATGGTGGATGTGTTTCCTCACCAGTGGCTGAAAGTAGAATGGCACGACATGGACTTTGTCTGAAAGGATGGCATTGCTCCTGTGTGTGTGTCTGTTGCTGCCGTTCCACAGTGAGAGGCTGGTCCCCGAAGACGTCTCTGCTGTGTGCAGGTGTTGCCTGACTTGGATTGGTGCTGGAGGGCTGTGGGTAGTGATGTTAAAGTGAATGTCTGTGCAGGAGGAGCAGGGGTTGTGTGGAATCTGAATTGCTTTGCCATTCATGGCTTTAAAACCCCGTCTCCCTCCCTCCCCATGGTCTCAGGGTCTGGTTTTATGTATGCGGGATGCATAAAAACAAAGGAAAGGCTACTTTCTCCTATAGTTCTGTGTCTTTGGTTTTAAGTCATATTTGCCTCACAAACTAAGAAAAAAATTCATGCTTAATTCTGTGTCTGAAAAATATCAGTCTTCCTTCTGATTTGAGTGCTTTATCTGGGACAAATATTTCAGAAAACAATCAACTCAGTAATCGAATTGACTCTGGTTACACAAGAACAGACTCAAATAACTGACCCAGCACATGTTTTTGTTTCCAGATAATTAGACTTTCTATTTTTGTTTAACCTTTTTCTAATTACAAATGTAAATTAGTTTATATAAAGAATGAAATAACATGATTTTGGTGAAAGATATACTAATACATTTATTATACAGTGTATATCCTAGGAGGTCAGTATTTTTTTAGTGGTTTTTTGTTTTGTTTTGTTTTGTTTTTAAGTAATAGGCTTCTGTTTTGTCTCCTTTAGTTGACCAGATATACCATCTGGCATCTCCAGCCTCCCCTCCAAACTACATGTATAATCCTATCAAGACATTAAAGACCAATACGATTGGGACATTAAACATGTTGGGTAAGTTGTCATTTTCTTGTTTTTTGGCTCTTGCTGGGAATATTTTAGACGATTATAAGCATAGGACATTGAATCTTCTACTAGAGTTTGATCTGGGTCCCTTATCATCCCTTATCGCCCTGCCTGTTGTATTTGGCAGTTTTGCAGTGTTATTTCAGTGTGACTTTATTTATCATCAGAATATGTCATGGAGGAGATATTCTAACTTTTCATGCATCATAGTAATCAGGCTGCAGCACCCTGGTGTAGGATCCCCTGGGAGTGACCACAGGCGCTTCATGTGACCGACCACCCAGCCTTCCCCTCCTCCTCTCCTCTGAAACCAGTTGATGAATGCCAAGGATAAGTGGCATGCCTCATGCTGGAAAGAGGCAGTGGTGGCTCTCATCCCGAGGTTGACTTGGCATGGCCTTACACACGGTTGTTTCAGTAGCACTCTTTGAAGGAATGGATGGAGACGTCTGTATGGGATGTTATCAAGATGGAGTACCTGCCCTAGATTGGACTTCAGGGTTCGCATTCATGAAAGATGGAAGAGAGAGCATTGTTAAGGGTGGCCATATGTGTATATTCACAAGTGACATGCCTTAGATTTATAGCTCTGGGTAGTATGCACATATTAATGTTTAAAATTGGAGGCATGCTTAAATTTGGCACAGTTTTTTTCAAAAAACTCTCGGGGTTTTGATTATTTGCAAAGTGGAAGAAAGGAACCGCTTTTTAAAATGGCAAGTAAATGATGGATTTAAGTGTAGGAACATTTAATACAGGTTCTGCAAATAGACTTGGGAAATACAGCACTAAATTTTGATTTGAACAAAACGTGGAGTCAAGGTAATGAAAGGACAGCCAGAGATTGGTTTCTCTCTTAGACACAATATTTTAGGGGGTGGTACTAGTCAAGGTTCTACAGAAGAACAGAACCAATAGGATGTGTAGAGATTTAGAGAAAGAGATTAGTTACGAGGGATTGGCTCACATGATTATGGAGGTCGAGAAGTCCCACCGTCTGCCTTCTGCAAGCTGGAGAACCAAGAAAGCCAGGGTGTAGTTCCAAGGCCTGAGAACTGGAGAGCCGAGGGCAGATCAATGTTCTGTGTAAGCAGTCGACCTGCCTCCATCTCTGTGTTCCAGTCAATCCTGTAAGGGACTGGATGATGCATCCACAGTGGGGAGGGCCATCTGTTCTACGCAGTCTACAGCTTCAAATGCTCCTGTCTTCTGGAAACACCCTCACAGACACCCCCGGACATAATGTTCAACCAGATCCCTGGGCATCCCGTGGCCTAAGTTGACACATAAAATGAACCATCACAAGGGTCAAGTTGTTTGGAGTAAGATGATTCATTCTTCCTGTCTGGAAAGAGCTTTATCTTCTTTGTTACCATCCCCTGCTCTGGTCTCAGACAGAACAGGGTGCTGCTGCTTCTGCTTAGAGGTGTGCGTGGTGCCCTCTTCTTGCCATCACAAGCGCCTACCCCTGCATCATACCAGAACTAGACCGTAGAGGAAAAGCCCATCATGCACTTGGTGTTTAGAGAGATTCCATTTGTTCTTCCTACTTAGGGGATGCAGTCACTCTGCCCATGAGTCCTGTCACTGTGGGGCAGATTCAGATGGGGTTACCCTCAGGCTCTTCTGCACTCGGCGCCCCATGGGGGGTGGGGGCTCCTGAATGGGCACAAGTGTCGGTGATACCTAGTAGGAAGGGAAAGGCTCCCAGAGAGGCCTCAGCAAAATGCTATTAGAGTTAAACGCAAAAGTGACTCGAGCTAGGGCTTGAGCTATGACTGAGATTGAATGTGGAGGCCTTGCAGGAATGGTGAAGAGTGCTCCAGGAGAGATGTTGACAAAAGGCGAAGGGAGACCATTGGTAGGCTGGAAAGAAACCCACGTTGGACTTTGTATTCTGAACGGAGGGGAGCCGTCATTAGCCATCTTGCACTTGAGATAAGATGCCATGAACTTTGCCTGGCGTCTTCCTGGTGAGACCCTTTCCTCTATGTAACTCGCCCGCCTCCCAGACCCTGTGCTAGACTTCTTCCTCTGATGAAAGCTTTTCGTAACGCCCAGACACTGTAGCAGCAGGATAGCTCCCTTGGCTTCACTCCCTGACAGTTGCCTCTGTAGATCCTGCGTAAGTCATTCCATGAAAGTGATACAGAAGTAGTCCTAGTTTCAACATCTTTAAACTCGGTTGTTTTTGAAATACAACACATTGCATTTGTGATGTGTGTTTGTGACCAAAGTTCAGAGAAAACTATAAAGTAGAAATAACTCAGGTAGGGGGGAATATAAAATGTATAGTCACTTTGGAAAACAGTTTGACGCTTTCCTAAAAAACTAAATATGCACCTACCATATTACTCAGTAATTGTATTCTTGGGCATTTCTCCCAGAGAAATGAAAATTTATGTTGACATAAAAACCTGTATGAATGTTCATAGCAGCTTTTTTGTGTAGAGGTGGAAAATGAGAAGCAACCAGAATGTCCTGTCATAGGTGAATGGTTAACGGCAGCGCATACATCTATCCCCTGGAATTGTACGTCATAGGTGAATGGTTAA